AAAAAACGACAGAGAACGCGAGAGATAGAGAGAAATCGTTCAATCATGTTCGCATTTTCAGTGAGATGAAACTGGATGAAACTGATGTGCGAGAATATTATGTATTATTATAATGTATGTAATAACACTTTTTTTTGCCGTGTAAAAAATGTTGGGACGCCTGGTCTCAATCGATTTGATTAAGTCATTAAATTTTTCGCCACGGGGTGTGAAAAGAAGCGTTGCGCTGAAAAAATGAACGGAATCAAATCGATGAAAGCCAATTGATGACCGAACGGTACGATTTCAACGCATATTGCCTATTTTCTCCACCGCCTTTTTATCTATTTAAATTAGAAAATCAACATGTTACAAGGAGATTCTTAACGCAACTCTATACTGTTAGTTAACTCAAACTAAGTATATGAATTATCACTTCTCTGTAAATGTGAAGCAGCAACGGCAGCAGCAGCCGAAGAAGAATGATCGAAAAATGAGTTAACGACGGCGTCACGTATGTGCAATATTTCTTTTTCATCAAGAGAGCGCTCGCGCGCGCATTATATTTTTAGATTGTTACCAGGTTGGCCGTTCGCAAAACCATATTGTTTGAACAGTCTGTGCATCAGAATGTGCTTAGAAAATTATACCGAAAAGGTCTTGTGACCCAAAAGAGAGCGCTGCTTAGAAGTCGAAATGTTATTATGCAATTTTGTGCTTGTCCACAACAGCAATTTGTGAGAGTTTGAAAATGATTCATATCAAAGTCTTCGTCAACGACGAAGACGACGACCGACGACAGTAGAACAAAAACAAAAAACGGGCAGAAAAAAGACGACCATTCTGGTAACAATATGATTTGAATCGAATGCAAAAAGCATGAGTACACTCTGTTTGAGTGCCCACCATAAACCATTCGGCGAACGTTACTCTTTTGTTATCCGTTGCAGCAAAATGGCTAAAGTATCCATTTCATTAAATAGATTAAGTCATATAAGATTGATAACACGATATACCATTGTTTGTGTCTTCATTTGTGTTCAGCTCTTGACTTTGATCAAAGTGCGCGGTGATTGTGCGCAGGCGAGCTGGCTGGCTCGCTTAAGATACTCCAAACACGTACACGATTTTTCTGCTCCATTAAAAGTTGCGCAGAGAGTGCGAGATGCGCGCACAAGAGACGCATACTGCCGCCCATCAATAGAATGTATAATTTTCCTAGGTCGGGATAATTGTATACACGTACCCGTATATAACTGAAGATCTAAAAGTTGGAGCGTAGCGAAAAAAAAACCGCGCGCACAGAGAGAGAGAGAGAGACATTATCTAAAGATGCATCCATAAAAAAGAGACATATATGTGTGTATGTTCTGTTCCTCTTGGCTTTGGATGTCCGTGTGAAAATGTTTAGCATTCAATCCATCAAATCAGCGACAAACTGTACTTCTCGCTAGCTTAATATTTTTCCCCGTCCTTCTTTTCTTTCGTTTATTTATCTGAAATTACAAAGAAAAACATTGTAAGTTACAATATCCTCAATTGAATTACAATAACATTAGAGCGGTGGAGATTCTTTTCATATCTGAATACATTTTTTTTTTCGTTCGTTCGCATTTTATCGGTGCATATAGGATTTTATTAATAATACCCCTGTTTTTTTTGTTGTTGTAATTATTTGTTCGCAACGGAAACACCCAAGAGTTGTGTGTGTCTTCGCATAAACAAAAGTGTATATTATTTAAAGATGATGAAAAAAAGCCAACAACAGCAACAACGAGACACACATAAGAATGATCCTTTGTCTAAGGCTACACGCTAATTATTATAAATAAGGCAGATGGCTGGTGCAGTGGACAAATAAAGAAAGCAATAAAAAAATTATTGTCTCATTTGCCCTCTCCGTCCGCCACCAACAGCTTACACAGCTCAGTTGATCCGTACGCGCCGGTTAATCTATGGCTTAGACACTCTCGATGATGCCGTGCGTTGCCTTCAGCCACCACACACATAACAAATGATTATTATTCCAATTTTTATTCGTTTCGTTTCATTTGTCGATTTGCACACACAGTGCTCAGTGCGCACAATCATTGATTTAATATCCGTCACATGAGAGAAAGACGCAGAACAGAAATAGACTTTAGCCATTGGGCCCTAAATTGAAATTATTGACGATGTGCTCCAGAAATCACCTTCTTCTTCTTCGTCGTTGTCGTCGTCGTCACTTTTTTTGTGTACTTCTGCACAGCACTCAGATTATGAATCGGAATTGATGGGTCGTCACGACCATGAGTGGCGAACGCAAATTATAAAACATTGACAAATGCACAAGAATAAAAGGCGCGAGAGCAGAAAAAAAACCATACCCGTGACAATGATCGCGACAATAAAACACACACGCAGAGATAGAGTGAGCAAAAATGATTACAATCATTTTCTATGGCACTAGACTGACATTTGCCGTCAACAAAATGCAACGAAAACCTAAAACAAATATCAACCGATTGCCTGTCTGTGTATTCACCTAAATTATATGCGCGTTCAAAAAAATAAAAGACATGCCTTCATTGTTGCAACAGAGAAAAAAACGGAGAAAAAGAGAGAGAAAGGGAGAGAGATCTATTTAAATTGATACGCAAAGCACAATGTAATATTACTTAAGCTGCAAGCTTGTATGTTTGACTTGACTCGACGGTTTAGCCGCTCGTTGCGCGCTTAGTGCAACGATTTAAGCATCGCTTTTTTTCATTCTGCCGTTGTTTCTGTTCATCAGTTTGAATTCTTTTATTATTTCAAAGTACTTTGCTTAGTTGTGATAAGCCAACAACACCCCATTCCGCATTAAAAGGATTAATGTTTCATTCCATCGATTGGCCAGTGACATCGGACAGCCAATTTCAAATATATTTATATATAAGTATATATGCAGACATCATGCATGCCATTCCAAACCAACCTAGATATAGCTTTGGAAAATGAAGAAGATGAAAAAACAAACAAACAAACACGGCCAATCACAATGGCAATTGATAAAGCAGCAAGACATTTTTTTGATTATACTTTTTGAAATATATACGGTAACAAGGCATGGATTGAAATTTTCTGCATCAATTGTAATGGATGCAGGCAGGCAGCAGCAGCAACAGCAGCGTTTGTTCATGGTCACACCGGAGATTATTTTGCGTGGACAAACGAAAACGATACGGCATTGAACACACATAATCACATTTTATCAGTAAGCCATTTTCAAGCGTTAAAAGCATTGTTTTCTGCTGCTCGCTCCATCGTACCAATTTTTCTTTCAATTTTTTTCTCTCCACGTTTTTCTTCCTTCAATTTTTCTTTTTTTATTTCATCTGTTTTGTTCGTTCAATTTTTTTCGTTTTCGACGTATCTTTAGGTCGAACGAAGAAGGCGCACTCGCCACGATCCCATCGCTACAATTTTAAATCAATCAATTCCTTTCGACTGCACATCGAATACAAATTAAAGTTAATGGTGCATCTAAAGTACATGTTTCACTCCACACATTGTTGTGTGTGTGTGTTGTTTTTTTTTTGCTCGTTCGTTTGTTTGTTCCGTTGGCTGTTCCCACTGCAAAGTTTGCTGTGCAATCCATCCAATCAACCGATATGCAATGTAATACTATAACTAATTGTAATCGCATGGGCTACATCGTTTTTCCATTTAATTGCATTCCGAAAAATGATTCGCCTATATTTTGCGATTAAGATGGGACAATAATTTTTGAAGCCTTTTTTTTGTGTACCATCATTTTGTCCCTCGGAAATTTGACCCAATTAGCATGACGCGATCACGCAATGAAAATTCGTTTCCAAACTTCTTGGATCATTAGCCGAAATTGCTAAGAACTAAGCATTTTATCAGCGGTGATTTTGTGAACTGATCGACAGTGACAAAGTGACACAAGTGGTTGCCATCAACAGTACAGTGTGCAGAAGACAATATGTACTAACACCATATAAATGTGGTAAATATACATTTTTTTTCAGCTTTCAATTGTGATCGATAATAAATTTTTCGTTCTATTGATTTTGTGCGCATTTTTTTCCCTCATCTATTTCATTGATTTTATTGATTTTGAGTGAAAATAATCGAAAGATTGGAATTTTTCCATGGAAAAAGATGGCATGCTCAAAGTAATTTATTTCGTACACTCAAGTTTATGTGGTTCGCTCCATCGAAAATTCTTTCGATACGAAAAGTTCCGATTGCACCAAAGATTCAAATGACTAAAAATGAAGGTTGGTCACGGGCAAGCCGAGCATCATATTTCACTAAGGCAATAAAAAGGCGAATCCAAGGTATGCGTGCACATCGTTAACCCAACGCACAATGCACTAATGCACATAACATTGTTGGGAACCTTTGATAGCAAAACGAAACGGAAAAAAAAATTCATCAAGAAAATGAATCGAATTGCCGTGTGTGATATCTAGTTTGCATGTGACGCCGGAATCAAAACGCAAGAATTATCAACACAAAAAGACGACAGTGCGCGCGAAATAAAAGAAAAACAGAAAAAATATAGCATAACACACAAATCAGATATGTGGAATGGTGTACCTCTTTAGCGCTTTGTTCGAACGCCATGCATCATGGATACCGACGTGTGTGAGCACAATCTTTTATATGTTTGTTTGTTTGTTGACAATAATGCTATCACCTTCATAGGCAGCAGCAGCAGCAGCAGCAACAGCAGCGGTGGCGGATCGACGTTGGCAGCAGCAACCAGCAACATCAGGCAGCCGCACCAACGGCAGCTCTCTATAGCAAATATAACACGCTCACACGACAGGCTCTCGCTCGTTTGCTCACTCTAGCCCCCTCTCTCTCTCTCTCTCACACTCTCTGTCTAGCCTCATCTAGCGCGCTATTTGGGCTGTGCGCTGAGATGAGAGAGCGAGAGCAGAGAATCTTCGTTGAAATGAAAAGAATTAAATTACAGCACGCGTTGATGATATTTTTCATTTATAATGGGTTTCTTTGCCGATTTTTCGCCAGTTTTGTAGAAAAGGCTGACACGGAAGAATCTCTCTCTCACTCGAGATCCGAACGTGACAAACGGCGCATTGCGTGCATAGTTTATAACAATTTGTTATTGAAAATCCCAACAATTTTCCCGTATAGAATCTTTTTTTCAAAAGTTTTACAAACGATTTTTCATTCCATTCAAAAAAGTTAATCCAACATTTTTGTTTTCTTCATATAAAAATTTGTGCTTTAAAGAGACAGAGATAAAACAAAAATACAACGAACATTTCGGAATTATTTTAATTTGAAAAATTTGTCAGTTTTTTTTCGCGGTCAGAGTGTGTTGAAAGTGCAACGAAATTTAGTGTGCCATTTATTTTCCGACTGTTAGTTCGCGCGTTTTGCTCGTTCAAAACGTTACCAAGGAACACAGTGTACAGGCGATTTCTCTTTTTTTTTCCAACGAATTTTCCAACCCAACCCAAATATGAAGTGTTATTTGATTTGTTTGGTAAGCATTTTTTAGACAATTTGTCTTTTTTTTGATAAAAATTGTCGCGAAGCAAGCACATTTCAAAGCGACATTTTTTCCCTTGGTAGTAGCGCATTTTTTTAAGCGAGTTTGCTGTTTAGTATTGAAATCTTTTGATAGATTTTGTGCTGATTCGATCTCATGCTGCAAACAGGTAGCTAGTAGTACTTGAATGAAAATAAAAACGCTTCAGCACAGAGATAACAAAGAATAGATAAACGCTTCCAAATACCATACGCACCGAAAAGAGTTGTCAAATTTGATGTCAAAGTTGAATTGTGTGAGTTGATGTGTATGCTCGATATCATTGACGATACGTATTTATTTACATGCCCATCTAAATGGAAAACCAGATTTTCGTAAACCATAAACGAAATCGAATCGAATCAAGGTAGTCCAATGAGTCATAAATGGGAGAATGCGCGCACATGTGTGTATTCTATCGAGTTATTCGAATTCGATGACGCTTCCCATTTGATATCGGTGTCGTATATCTACCGTCAAGTCACGTCTATTTTTAACGTGATCTATCGGAATCGACGATGATCATTTCGAAATTCAAAATGCTAAATGATACGAAGCACCGAAATAATGATCAACGATCATCATTGCTACACATCATCATCGCTCTTGTTGTTTATTTTCTTCCCTTTATTCGAATCCATTGTGTATTTTCCCATTTCACATAATTTAATCAACGATGATATAAATCAACGCAACAAGGAAACCATTTAGAATGTAAAATAACAAAGATTTTTGGAAAACTTTGGGCTTAACTTAACGGTGAAACGGAATGAAAGCAACCGTTGATCGATCATTCATTTGAATTAATTCAACACCTTAGATTCACTTTCGTTCGAATGATTTCACGGTCACGTAGAATCATATTGGTGAACGCTGGATTTCTTTAACTGACACGGATTAATTCGTGCAGAATTTATTTAAAAAAAAAAAAACGAAGAAACAAAAAAAATGAAATGAGCAAAAGGAAACGAAAAGAATTAAAAAAAACTGTCTGATTAAATCATTGTCATCATTGTGCACGTTGCAAACATTGCATGCCAACCAGAGATTAACCGTGTTCGTGTCAATCTGCCATCAAAATTGTGTGCATTCATTCGCCACTATTTCGACCATCCGTTCACACTTTTCAACAAGCTTGCATATTTTTTGCACAAACTCAAAGCAAAAAATCGATTGCGAAAAATATACATTTTTCGATAATAATATTACCAAAAATATCTTTTAAATGATTAATATCATCGATTGATGCATGAAATTTCGCAAAAATTATTGTTTGACACAAATCCATTGAAATTCATAATTTTTAATTTTCTATTATAATAACTTGGGTTATGTTGACCTTTTGTGCAAAGTGTATTGTTGCGTTTCAGCTTTGTATTTAACATCCAATGCTGAAATGTCATCGCCGGGAATTATGACACTCGACCGATTTATTGGAAATTTTGAAATATAGCTCTTTCTAGGACATCATTGAAAGCTTGATTAATCCAAAATTCTATTTTAATTATCAACATTGAATATTTGATGCTTCGATTTGATGGCGATATTATTTTCTAAATGAACAACTGTTTCTTCAAAAAAATGATTGAAATTGAATTCTATTCTAATTTTAGAACTTTTTTCCCTACAATGTTCAAGTCTCTTTTTCGAAACGGCTCGCAATCGGTGGACTTAGACAAATGGATTTAAACTTAAATTTTAATTACGGTAACCGGAGTTCCGTTTGAATGATATTTATTTTTGATAAAATTGAAAAAATGGCAACGATTTTTTCTTCTCTCCGAATTTTTGGGCTCATAATTAAATCAAAAAAAATTTCAATTTTATTTGATTGGACCATTATTTATTGAAATATTCTAGCATAGTTTGATCAGAAATTCGTCACGTTTAATTCGGTTGAAAAAAAAATGGATTGTTGAAAAAAAGGCGAACGAAACATTCTAATTATGAGTCAGAAGAAGTTGATAGCGGTATTTTGTCTTGTATTTATTTTTTGCTGTGGTGTTTTTTCCTGTTTAAATAACAGGCATTAAACCGAATAACATAAAAAAGGAACAATAAAAGCCATAATACAATAAAGTGGTGAGAATGTCTTAGAATGTTGTCGATTTGTCGCTGTTGATGGATGTGAATGGTGTGTGTATGTGTGTATTTTTGTTCTGTCATGCCAGTGACTACCGTGCGCGCTCCTTCAAATTGTTGCCTAGCATAAAATGACAACAGTTATTAAAGTAAAAGGATGTAAATCAGACTGTTTATTGAAACATTTACTTAAGTAGCCGTAGCAAAATGATGGATTAATGCCTTGGACACTGCACACAAATTGTTATTTTTTTTTTTGTTTGCTTATGTTTTGCATTTTCATTCCATTATTCTCTGCTCCTCCTTCTGATTCGAACTTCGTTTAACTTTTCGAAGTGAAAAAAAAATCGAAACCACAAGAAAGTGATTCGAATAGGCGGCAATGTGGTATTCAATATGCACGAATGATGGTTGCAGCATAAATTTCATATTATTGCCTTGGAAAGATTTATTAATTATGTAACATTTGATACGGTAAAAAAAAATCTACAGCATTAGCAGCAACACAACACAATCCAGCCATCGCATTTCCATAAACGCATCACTTGCAATCGATTATGTCTCTATAATTTTTCATTTTCATATCGTGAATGAATATTTGATTAGATCTCTTGCACTTTCATGCGCTTCATTAGCTGTTGTTCGGTGAGACGAGTTCTCAAAGCAAGAGATGAAAAAGAGATCACTTGATCAAGCAAGCCTCACGGTCAAATTGAAACAATTGAAGCGACAAACCTACGAAGATGAAAAGAACAGTATAAAAAAAAAGAGATTGAATCATTGATCCTTCGTAATTACATTATCTGTGCGCGGTAAATTGACCAAAGCCACGTACTGGTTTACATTGCAATCGGTTCATTTCTTTTTATCAGGAGAATAATGTTGGCTGCTGTTGCTGCTGCCGAAATCAGCTGCACTTGCAAAAGTGAGAATTGAATTCGGTTCGAAATGACCATTTTATTGAGAAGAAAAAAAAACGGCTGAAATTAAAAGTGTGAGAGATAAAACGAAACTCGTTCTGTGAGTGTGTGTGTTACATTATCATCAGATGACAAAATAAATATGCATAATTTGCATTCATAAATTCAAATCTACCGGCTCTACTCATCGCATCGAAAACAGACGGATTGCAAATCCACTTGGTTAAATGTGCGTTTTTATCAGGTTTTTTTTTTTGCTCGAACCATTTTTTGTCTTCTTTTTGCCCTCTTGCTTCGCTTCTTCGCTTTCATAGCCATGTTCAGCGTGTTATTTATGAAGTTTTTATTTACAATTATGTCGTTATCACTGTGGTGGGAACCAATTCTACGTTCGAAGATTACATTCACGGTGAAACATTTCATGACATTTGACTCCGAATCACAAATTGAACGATTTAAACCATTCAGGATTTTGTTTTTGTTTTTAACCTTGCGTTTTTCTAGCATTAGACAAATTGTGGTCATCGTCTTTAAATAGTTTTTTGTCTTATTATGTAATAAGTTTGATTTCGGTGTGAACCACAAAATTCAATCATAGAATAAAGATAGAAATCGTAATACTTCGATTTTTTGGCATGTGAGCAATTAATAACCGTTAGTATGTTGCTTATTTGTTGTAGATTTTAGCTGCAGTCACGGCAATAAACGCTCAAATAGAATATCGACCAGATTTTAAAGAATATACAAACAGTGATGGTGCAGTGCTGGTGAATATTGACAATCCAGAAACTCGGCTATCTCAATACCACACATCGGATATTGAACGCAGTAAGTAGCGCGATAGAATCGAATTATCGATGTTATTTGAATCTAATCTGAAAAACCGCCCGAATCTCAAATGACTTATAGAAAAAAATATTTTTCAAAGTGTAAAACAACGGCAAATCTCCAATCGAATGTATTCGTTTTTACTAGCTTTTTTCTCGAAAAAAAAAATAATTATTTTAAAATTGAATATGATTTGAAGAAAAAAAAATCTGATGTATAAATATTTTGAAACAATAGATACCGGCTCATATAACTATGGTTATGATGTATCACCGGATGGTCAATTTCATCATGAAACCCGAGGACCAGACGGAGTGACTTACGGATGCTACGGTTACATCGATCAAAATGGTATATTGAGAGCGACCCATTATGTGGCCGATTCACAAGGATACCGTACGGTCGAAGCCTCAAAACCAGTGCTAATCTATCCAAATGAATTATACGACAAGTAAGTCCATACATACAAAGTCGAAATGGACATTTTTATTGTTATATTTTTTTTTTGTTATTTTTATTGGGCATTTACATGGGAATTTCATTTTTAGTTCGTTGAAATTTGATGCAAATCAAAAACGAAAAGGAAGAACGATCGATTGGCAAGATTTGTACTTCCCCATTGGATGTGGCATGGTCAAAGGTGGAGTTCCAGCAAATACGCCGTTAGTCAAACAGCCCAATGGAAGTTACACACCGGTAAGATGCAAATCAAGAATAGAACATTGAAAGAAGACGCTTCAAATAAGAATATAAAAAGCAACCCTCAATCGAATCAAATAAAAAAAAACACAATTTTTATCCATGAATATAGGTTAATGTTAATAGATATAACGAGAATACTGACGCTCCAGCCGAAAATAGTCAACCAATTCAGAATAATGCCTATAATAGTTACAATAATGCCCCGAATAATGAACAATTTTGTAAGTATATCGGCAAATTTTTGAATATATATCACCATGGTATGTTTATTTAACGATATTTCACGAAACAGACACCGAGTATGATAACAGCCAGTACACAACGCAAAGCTCCAACAACAATGGATACCAACAGGAATTGTATGTTGATGATGCGAAAGATTTGCACTATTCATCACAGCATGGATCACACTCAACCGAATTTACCGCAACCAGCAGTCATGGTCAGGGTCATGGTCATGGTCATGGTCATGGTCATGGTCATGGTCATGGTCATGGTCATGGTCATGGTCATGGTCACGGTGGCAGCGGTGGCAGTGGAGACGACTCGAGTAAAGGTCAATCTAGGTAAGGAGCACACTGAACTACTCAAACTATAATAATAGCAATCTATTTATTTTGAAATCATCAATTCAAATTTATTCCATTTGCCATCAGTTCACATTCTTCTAGCGGCAGTAGTAGTCATGCGTCGAATAATCAATCGGGCAGCTCAAGCTCATCAAATTCACAAGGTTCGAGTGGCGGTGGTGGCCACAGTCACAGCACGGAATACACAAGCTCACACCATGGATCGACCACATCTTACATGCATTCACATTCACACGGTAATACACAAATATATAAAATATCGAAAATCGATTTGATGCAAAAATATTCAATTTTTAATGAATGTTTATTTAGTTGGAACAATTTAGATTTTTTATAGATTTTTATACATGAATGAATTTAGTTGAATGGATTTTTAAGAATGAAATTCATTTTAATTTCAAATATACAGGAAATAACCAGAATCAGAATCAGAATCAAAATCAAAATCAAAACCAACAGCAGCAACCGCAACAAAATCATAATCATAACCATAATCAAAATCAGAACCAGCAGCAACCAAGTGGTGGCCAGAATAATTGGGATTCTGGAAACAATCAATATCAATACCAACCATCGCCAGGCGGCAATCAAAATGGTGAGTCAATGTTGGATTGTAATGCTAATCACTGGGAATGCCCAAACCTGGTAATCATTTTAGTACAAAAATAACAAAACATGTTATTAAATTAGGTAACAATCAACGGCCAAGCGGTGGTAGCCAGGGATCGGGGAGCGGCAATGATCCGAACAACTCACAAAGTCAAGGTAAGATTTTTTTTTACGCCAACGACAATTGAGCACACATTTGCTTACGCTTTCAGCTTGCTTTATATGCGCTTCAATAGGACATTCAATTAAGAATTTTGGATTTTATAACGTCATACTTGCCCAAAAAAATAACGATTTTTTTTTCTTCTCGGAATTATACGATGATGATTAATGCGTACTGTCAATTAAGTGGTGATGCAATTTCAACGTCTAGTTGAATGAACCCATGTGAATATCAAAAATTCGTGCGCAAAGCAAACATATCCAAAATTATTAATTGATTCGTCTTTGTTTGTAATAATTTGTTTTGTGACTTATCGAAAAATAAACCAAATAAAAAAGCATCAAGCTCGTCGAGTTCGCATGGTGGACCAGACAATCATTCTGAATCGGAAAGCCAGAGCTCTAGCTCAAGCAATAACCCAGATAACGATTCATCCAGCAGTAGTTGGAGTTGGTCATCATCTTCCAGTGATTCCAATGGTTTGTAAATGCTCAGCCCTTCCTGTAAACCCTATGCCGTCTCCCAGAATATTTTTTTTAATTGAATAGAATAGAAGATATTGAATTAGAATTAAAGAAATTTTAATTTGCTTACCAAAATGCTTTAATTTTGCCTGCAAACTAACACAAATGCACCGATTTTCATATTTGCTTGTCGAATTTGGAAATTGGTTTATATTGAAAAAAAAAAACAATTGTGACACTTCAGGCCCAGACAACCAGCAACAAAGTCAAAGTAGCAGCGGAAGTGGCAGCAATAGCAGCTCAAATCAAGGCGGATCACAATCGAATAGACCACAACAAGGTACTTTGATACAATTTCCATTCAATCAACTATTTTTCTAACACACTATCGTTGTAACTGTGTCGTGACAACCGCAAATTTATCGTGAACATAAAGGTTCGAGCAGTTCAAGTCATAGTGAATCACATTCAAGCAGTAATCAAGGCTCTTCGAATAGTGGTAGTAGCAGCAGTTCTTATAATAACCAAGGAGGCTCTTATGAACAACAAGGTCTCTTTTTAATAGAGAAAAATTGCTTTTTCACACAATTTTTCAACATTACTTTGTTTTACAGGCTCAAACGAAGGACCAAACGATCCAAATTCTGGTTCAGGAAATTGTAGGTTTTTCACATTTATTATTCGTTTTAATTCATAATTGGAACAATTGATGCAGTGAAATAATCTTGACATTCTCTTGTTTAATCGAATTCACAGCTCAAACTGATCCAACAGTGAATGGACCCCATGGCGAGGGATACGATCCAAGTAAGCTACATTCGACACTCTTTTTTTAAAATTCTTTTGGTATAATTTACTTGAACTTGATGTCGAACAGTGTCTCGTTTTTTCCATAAGTATCACATAACAAAGCATTTTTTTTCATTTTTTTTTCAAATCCATTTTCAAAACATATGTATGGCTTTTACATATTCAACACTATATCAACATGTCAAACTTTACCATATTCAACCATTTCATTACGCATTATCGCATCGCATCACATCATTGTCACTGGATCAATTGTCCATTACAAACTGGCTGCATATCGAACGGTTTTCATTGTTTATTCAAATCAATCAATCAAAAGATCAATCTCAACCATCTTGTCCATATCCAGGTCATGGCCATCCAACATCTGGAGGAAATGGTAAGATGAAACTATGTACAACAAAGATTTTTCTATTTGTTGTTAACGTACAACTCCGACAAATCACATTCAAAATTCAAAATTTTTGTAAATACTCAACTCATTTCATGAGGGGAAAAATTCACATTTGGCATTCATACGTTGGCATTAAGAAAATTGAATTATAATCAAGAAATTATCTAAATTACATTTGTCAATATAATTATAGTTATCAACGAAGGGAAATACGGCAAGTTTCGTACACTCTATTGTTCATAGGATCAAAATTCTTCGAAAAAATTGATATTTCGAACAAATGGAAAATGATTCAATGATGAAACTTGTCGCCTTTCTGCTAATGCTCTTTTATATAATTCAATTCAATTGTAATATGTTTGATTTGAATAGTACCGTCGAGACCAGATCACCCTCAACGGCCAACACAATCACCACAACAGGGTCAACAGCAAGGTGGTCAAGGTCAACAACAAGGTGGTCAATCACAGCGACCACAACATAATGTTCATCCAACGCGACCAACACATGCACCAGGTAAATACTATGCATTTTGTTAACCGAATCTATTCGGGCGGCTGTATCATTCTGTCTCACTCATTCTTCTCAGTAACTCAACAAGTGACAACTTATCCAATATTTCCAGGTCCAGGTAAATTCATCAATTCAGAATCATCATTTTTTTTCGTTTGGCTAAATGAGATGTTTTCAGGAGTGGCTTTTGCTGAATGTTATATACCACATCTATACATGTGGGATATTTTATTGATGGTTTACATGTTTATATTATAGGATCGCATCCAACACAACCACAAAGGCCATCACAACAGCCTCAACAAGGACAAGGTCAACAGGGACATGGACAAGGTTCAACAAGACCACCGCAATCATCGGGTTCACAACAACAAGGTGGTGGTGGTTCAAGACCTCCACAACGACCACAAGGTTCACAACAGGGAAACCAAGATCCATCAGGCAAACCACAGGGAGGTCATGATCCACAAGGATCACAACAAGGTGGTGGTGGTTCATCTCAACCAAGGCCAACGCAACGACCGCAAAGCGGATCACAACAGCAAGGATCACAACAGCCAGGCAGACCACAGCAGCAAGGTGGACAAGATCCACAGGGATCACCTCAAAGTGGAAGCGATCCACAGGGAGGCAGACCACAAAGACCGCAGCAAGGTGGCTCACAGCAAAGTGGACAAGATCCACATGGATCACCTCAAAGTGGAAGCGATCCACAGGGAGGAAGACCACAAAGCGGATCAC